CCAAATGACTAGGTCATTTAAATTTTGAGCAAATGACCAAGTCATTTACCATCCCTGTTTTAAAGAGGGAAAAAATTTTACTATTTACAAAAAATTAGCTAATAAACAACACTTCTCTTATTACTTAAAATCTATATAGAAAACTATCTTTTGTATTTTAACAAAAAGTTTTTCTTAAGCAATTTTACTATAAATACCAATCTCTAACTCAAACTAACAAAAACAAACTTTATTGATACAGAAATGATTTACATATTATTTGAGTAACAAATAACTTAATTATTATTAAAAACCAAATTGATAAACTAATATTGTATACAGTTAGACAATACAGTCAGATCTCGTTATATTCACTCTCAATATAGTCACAACCTTGTTATAATCATGCTATTTTTTTGACCTAGCTATTATAAAACATATAAATTTTAACCTTTATATAGTCGCAACTTTTTATAATCACCAAAATTTTGTTTCCCAACCTGGTGATTATATCGAGGTCTGACTGTATATATTAATAAATACTTTGACTTTGGTTATTTTATATATTAATGCTATAAATGTACATATAAAGTTACATATAGAATTGTTTATACATGACTTACCTGAAAGTAAATAGTATGAAGTTTTATCTTAACTAGAATTTTTTCTAAAAAAAATTTTTGATTAATTACCCATATACATAAACAATAATGGAGCCTATTATACATAAAGTAAATAACACATTTGAATCTTTAAAAGCACTTGAAAGTGTAGCTAATTTAGCTACTAAGGTTAATAAGTTTGCTTTCTCAAGAATAGATAGTAATCTTATAGAATGCAGAGATAAATTACCTTTTATTATTTTGCAATATATCAAAGATGGAGAATGGCGTAATAACTAGAATATAGATAAAAAAACTTGATAAAGAAAATAATAACTAAATGTAAAGACTGTTCTGTATACATTAGAGCTATTGCAGTAAAACCATTATTTAACTACAGATGCTACAAAAGTTAATATAATGTGAAATATTACTAAATTTGCACTTGTGCATAATTATTCTTTACTTGAATTAGATAAAGTTGCAACTTTTTCTCAATATCATACTATGAATTTAAGTCAAAAGCATCTTATTTAACAACTACATGACAGCAATGCACCTACATGTATTATTATAACTGCTGCAAATAAGATTGCTAATGATGGAATTATTCTTCTAAAAAATATTGTTAATAAGTGTGCCAAATAAGATTTGTATTAAATGAGGGTCTTCATGATGATTCTACATAGAAGCTTTTAAGGTTTTTTGAAGAGTGTAGCTATATAGTTATATCTTTAAAAACAACAAAAGGTTACTTAATACATCTTTTTTTCATACTGAATCAGCAATATGTGTTGCCAAATGTCCTGAAGCTCTTATTGTAGATTCAACTTACAAAACAAATATTTGTAAGTACTCTTTTGTTAGTGCTATTAGTATTAACAATATAAGCAATAAAAAAGGTATATTGGTATTATACCAAATTGCAATAGCTTGGATAGAGAATAAAAGCAAGACATTATATATATGGCTTTTGCAAACACTTTATTTCAATATTTATGATGCATATAATTGTCTGCCAAATGTTTTTATATCTGATAGAGATCAGGCATTACAAAATGCTGCAGCTAAAATGTTTTTACAATTGAACGAAATGCTGTGTTTGGTATCTTTTAAAGCAAAACCTAAAACTAATTGGCACAAACTTTTTGAAAATGACAATAATTATGAATTATTTAAAAAAGAAGTTAAGGCTCTTCATTTTACTTCCAATAAAAAAAATTTCTAAATTATTTAATTTAGTAAAAAAAGCTACTGAAAAAGCTTATAATCCTGAAAAAACAATATCATATATCCAAACATGGATGAAAGATTCGGAACTGTGGATTTTGGCTTATACAAAATAATACTATCATATGGGAATTTTATCTACTGAACAGGCAAAGTCTTTTCATAGTGCATTTAAACAAGCAATTGAAATAGCTAGTGATTTAGAAAGTGTTTTCTATCAAATTGATCAAATAATATATATATAGCATTTAAAAGCTTCAATGTGTCAAGATTTTAACAAAGTGGCAATTGATCTATTTATTCATTGCAATTCTAAATTTAGTGAACTTATTAGTTATATGTCAATATGGACAATTGATAAAATCAAAAGAATGTTACAATTGATGACTAATAAACCAAATATATACAAAAATGCTAAAACTTGTAAATGCTTAACTAAGATTGCCTTGTATATATATGATTCCAAAAAATGGTCTAATTCCTCTTTTGATTATTAATAGAAGATACTGTAACTTCTTAAAAGGCTCAATATCATTGAGCTTCCACATCCTTCAAAGTCTAATACTATTGACTCCGAATTATTGGGTCTTGAAAACCACAATAATTATTAAAAATGCAAAAATATAATTAATTTTGGTATTTTTGATTTTGTAATACAAAATTAATTTAATTATGTTTGCAATGCTAATCGGTACATGCCCGTAAGCTGAAATATCACGTGATCGGTATGTGTCTATACATTTTCTGAAAATTTTTAGATAAAAGTTTTGATCATCACGTGATAAATATATTGAGTACAAAAAAGTCATTTAACTTGATCAAACAAAAAAATAATAATGACGAGCAATAAATTAATCATTTTATTATTTCAAATAAACTCAATAAGCGTAATATTTATTACAGTCATAAAGTATTATTATTATTATGATTTTCTAAGTATTTGGAATATTTCATTGCCCTTTAAAATGATTTTAATCCTCCAATTTATGCAATGGTTCAAAATTTTATTATCAATCCATTTGTTACTATTTGGATTAATTATGTTTCTTCAATAATTTTTTTGTTGCATTCTGGATTCAGAATTATAAAACTTTTGCTCAAATAAGTAATCAGTTATAGTTTTCCAGAAGAGCATTCAAAATAAAATCTAAAAGATTTTCTAGTGTAATTGCATTTGCCTGATTAATTTTTAAAATTTTATTTCTTTTTCTGTTTATCATTAGTGGAAACTAGCGTGTAGAACCCGGCGTTGCTCTGGTTCTAGTTTCTAATTTTTTTCTAATTCTTAGGCCACAATATATTAGCTTTCAAACTGAGTATTGTCTGGATTTGAGTTTTGAATTTTTGATAATTCTTAAGTTTAAACTATATTAGCTTTTAGAACTGAGTGTTGTCTGGATTTGAGTTTTGAATTTTTTGCTAATTCTTAGGTTTAAACTATATTAGCTCTTAGGCTTTGGCATTGTAAGTTTTAATTACTTTTTTAATTCTTAGGCCTAAATTATAATGGGTTTAAAATCTAAATATCATTTTAACTACTACAAAAATTTTATCCAATTTGTTTTTTATTTTTATTTTTTAGATTATTGCTTTATTTTGTGTTTTTACATGTAATAATCGCCTGTGTTAATAAATATCATATAATAAAGAATTTTAATGTATTATGCTAGCATTATACAACAAATAGCCCAAATATCACATAACTCCGTGGTCTAACTAATCAGTTGATCTTGCTGCTAGAAAGTTATATGCTATATCTGTAGTATTCGTGACCTATGTAAAATAATCTTAGATAACAAAGTGATATACTTATTAAACTATAATGTATATAAAGAGCCAATATGTAATTATCAAATTTTGGCTGCTCTTTAATCAATAAAAATACATATAAATAAGCCTACTTTTAAGTACAGTCTAAATAATTATATATCTTCTTATTTATTTGCCTGTTCAACTATTATATACAACAACATAGCCCTGTATTGCTACATATACATGACCCTTGTATTTGTTGTCCAGTATTTAAGAAATAGATTTAAGTTAACAACTATACAATTACTCTAACCCATAATTCTAGCCAATAACTCAGGCCAAATAAACACCTAACATCTTTAATAAACTAAATGATTATGATGCATAGAATATAAACATTAGTGTATTGAATAAATTTTCAGGCAAATAAAAATATGTAGAGACTTGTTAGAACATACCTGGTTTGATATTGTTATCAAAATAGTAATTGGAGTTGAAAAGAATGAATATAAGGTATTCATTTGTTATCCAACATCTGCTAAGATAAATAATAGCTTTATTTGCTTTGATTGTTTAAGACTTAAAATTTTTATAATTTCTAATAATGATTACTGTAAAAATTTTTTATTTTAATTCTAAATATCTATAGCATTAAAATAAAAAAAAGTTTATTGAATTTGGCTTAATAGATGCCAAGAAATCTTTGGTGAAAGTTCAAAAAATCCTAGAGAAAACTAAAATCGGGTGAATTTTTCTCTTTTTAAACCTTGAATGAAGTTTTCTTGACACCCATCTATCAAAATTTGATGAGATTTTTTATTTTAATCCTATGAATCTATAGAATTAATAGAAATTTTTTTTACCAAATTTGTATGTATAGTTGTCAGGAAATTCTTTAAAAGTTAAGAAGGAAATTTGCTATAGTTTTTATTTTATAGATATTTAAACTTTGAACAGTGATACCTGATGCTTGCTGATCAAATTCGATCAAAGTTTTTTTTATTTTAATTCTATAATTTATAGGATTAAAATAAAAAAATTTATCAGATTTAGATAGATGTGTGTCGAGATATCTTTGATCAAAGCTAAAGAAAAAATTCACCCGATTTTAGCTTTTTTTCTGTTATTCGAGGATTTTTTTAAACCTTTACCAAAGATTTCTCAACAACTATTAAACCAAATCTAATAACCTTTTTTATTTTAATTTTCCAGATATATAAAATTATTGCAGTTTGCAAAAAAATGTGAAATTTGCAGATCAAAAAAAAAAGAAATCGATGATTTCTGATTGCTGATTTCTTTAACATTACGTATGTATATCAATTAATATTATACTATATAAAGTCTTATATATAATCATGTTCCGCAGGCTATCTGTTAAATGATTTCAGCAGATTTTTATGTACATGATGGGATTAAAGTTGACTAAAATTATTATTCCGGAAAATGCTTTGGATGCACGAAGTGCCTTTTTTGTCAACTTCTAAAATTTATTGTAATGAAAAAATATATATATTCCAATAAAAAAGTTATACGTACTAAAGTTCCTTAGCAATATCATGTAACAATTCTTATAAGATTGAATTTAGTGTAGCTTTTAAATTTTCTTGCTTATCATGCAATAGTAAATTTTACCGGGTTAGAAAAGAAACAAAATTTAATATTACACAATCAAGTTTTTTACAACATGAAGCGTATACAAAATATATTCTAAATCAAAATATGTTACAAAATTATGAATCTACAACTTTTATTTCTGCAAAAAATGTTAAAGAAATCGGCAATCAGAATCAGAAATCATCGATTTCTTTTTTTTTTTGATCTGCAAATTTTACATTTTTTTTTGCAAACCGCAATAAAAAAAAACTACCGAATTTGATTAAGTAGTTATTAAGGAATCATCTCCAGAAATTATAAAAATTTTCAAATCTTTAAAGAATCAACGCAAATAAAGCTGTGATCTGATTGGTTATATTTAGGTAGATATTCAACAAACTGGGCACAGATTCAAAAATTGCTAATTTGGGAGAGCCATTAAAGCCAGGTTCGATCACAAATTTAATTACATTAAGGTTAGAGTCAGATTAGAGTCCGTATAGACTAGGTTTTATAACTTTATAGATAAAGTCAGAAGCCAACTATTTTTTTCTTAATGCACAAAGATAGGTTTAGACATTCGTTTCTTGTATTTTTCGCATTTTTTACTTTTTTGGCTTCGCCTATAAACAAAAATTCATAATTTTGATTAGTCAAAATCTTGCGATCGAATCTGACTTTAACGGATTCCTAATTTGGGTAGTGCGATGGTTGATTATTGTTAATGAAATAGAATTGGATGACAAATATAAGACATTCACTTATTAGCAAAAATCTGTAGCAATATGTGATGTTAATAGAACACTTCAGGTTGAATATTGTTAATGGATAGAATTGGTGTTGAAAGGTGAATGTAATGCAATCAAAAATCTGCAGCGATTTTCAACTTCAATCCATTTTGTTAACAATATCCAGTCTAGTGTGTTCCAATAATATTACCTATCTTTGCAAATTTTGGTAATAAATGATTACCTTATATTATCTAACAGTGTTTCAACATTACATGTACCATTGGGTATTTCCAATCTAGCAGATCTGTGATAATAAACGAATGCTTTTCTAGCTCCAATTTCCACATATGCATCCTAGAATAATCCAACAGCATCGCTTATTGCTGCAGATTTTTGATTATAATTGTCGTTGATCCTTCTGGCTTTCATCTCGATCTCAACAGATCTGTGATAATAAATGCCTTATGTTCATCATTTTTAACTTCAATTTCATACTAATAACAACGTATATGTTGGAATGTTCCAATAGCGTTACTCATCACCGAGAATTTTTGATAATAAATGAATACCTTAGAATGAACTTTATTTATAATCAAAAAACTGCATTGATGAGTGATGCTGTTTAAGCATTCCAGGATGCATGTTGATATCAGAGTGAAAATTGGAGTTGAAAAGGATAAACATAAAGCATTCATTTATTATACTAAATTTCTAGGAGTGGTATGCTAGCAAATAAAATTAAATAGAGTACGTATTAAAGCAGTATTACTGCATTAAAACAGAAACATAATAAGGATAGGTGTAAAAACAAAATAGTTACAATTTTTCGAACCAAGTGATTTTTTTCTATAATATGACCTTATCCTAACACGAAAAAGATCAATGCTTGCACTTGTGCTAATCCAAATTATTTACTTTC